AAAAGGGCACAGACCGCTCTCGTCCGCTAGAGACATCAATGAACCATCAACGCACCAGCTCAGAGTCTGTCCATATTATTATGCAGTATATAAACATGGCGGTTTATCTACATGCCTCAGCTCGAAAAGATCTATATTTAGATGACATGTTGTAGAGCATCTCTTCGAAAGGTAAAAGGGAAACCGTCTTGTCGTGATTTAGGTTATTATAGGGAATATACAATATAGGTTTTCTCTATGCATAATCTGTATCCATAAAAAAATCAACCAAAATGCAAAGACCGGGCACTGGCGAAAACGGATCGAACTAACCAAAAAGAATAGCATCGGAAAAAATATGGGATACAAGGTAGGCGTGCAAATAATATTTGTCTCATTCACGCAGCATCATTTCGCTCCACTTCTCTTCAATGTCTCATGCATTTAGAATTTAAAATTAACATTGGTGTTGTTTAATCCTTAAATGTTCGGTGCGTGCATTTAAAAATCAGCAATAACCGAATCTCAATTAACCATCACGCACAAAAGAGATGCCTAAGATTATATTATTATTCAGTTTTTTATAGCCTATATACTGTAACTCCATGTGTTATGTAAAACAGAATGCGGGTGCGTTAATCTGGCCTATGCATAGCTTATTTTATATGGATACCCTCATGTCCCATCCAAACTTATGAAGGCCAGAGTGTCTGATAGCCATTTATTTTTTTTGTAGCCAGTTTTGCCTCTATCTTTAATAAGTTAAATTTGTATTTATTTACGATTAAAGAGGACACAATACAATAAACACAAAACAACTATAACAGCTTAGGTCACTTCCTATCTATCTATCTATCTATCTATCTATCTATCTATCTATCTATCTATCTATCTATCTATCTATCTATCTATCTATCTATCTATCTATCTATCTATCTATCTATCTATCCACACACACATTTTTTTTCAATTTCTTCTATTCAAATCAAATTTGATCTTTTTATAGGCCTACCTCAAATCCAGAAACTGCAGAATGCAATTTGCATATGAGTGAAGTACAAATATTAAAATCAGATGAAATCTATTTACACCTCAAATTCAGGAACAGCAGACTGCAATTTGCATATAAGTGGAGTGCTAAATTTTCTAAATTATTAGTACAAAACTTCAAACTCATCACACTTGCAACACAGCTAGTCATTATTTAAAAATGTGATCACATGCTTTAATTATGGTTATACAATCTTAATTTTTTCAACTTGGTCAGGCAAACAATGTTTGAAAAAATACATGTTTCAAATCACCCTTGTTCCTCAATTAAAGATGTTACAGTACAGGCTACAGTTGCCACATAATAAAAAACACCAATTTATGTGATTGACATAAAATCCATGTTTGTAATTCATAGTTTTCATGTGATGTCACACCCTTACAGGAACGCCAACCTGGAGGGCAAAACAAGGCTTTCCACCATCGCTCGCCAGTTATTTTTTACCAGGTTTGTACTAAGTACTAGTGATATTAAAAGACCAATTCAATTATACACCTTATTGATGATGCATACTATGTACAGGCAAGCAGATGAACCCAGAATATAAACACAACGCACAGTTTCTTGTTAAGCATTTTTCCATAGAAAACCATAACTAAAAAAGCCTAACTATTTAGCGTGTTACATTTATTCATATTCTGGGCCCATCTGCTCGCCTGTATGCAGTTCTATGGATGTTATGCCTTACAGGTCTCTGTGGCAGTCACATGACTGAAACCTATGAATAATATAAATCCAGTAGATTATTGCAAGGTGTGATGAAGATGTAACACAGCCATAAGGTTTTGTTTTGAAATATTCCTCGGTCTGGTGTTCTGTCACTGTGTAGTGCAATCCAACAATAAAGATGTGTGATGCAGAATGACATTAACAACACTGAACAAAAAACTGAGAGCTTAAATACTCATGGAATGACAATAAACAGAACAAGGAAGAGGTGTTTCTAATCAGAAACCATAGTAACAAACAATGAACAGGAACTCAGGAAGACAGAAACAGGCAGAAACAAGAAAACAATGACAATGAAAATGAAACTAAATAGGACATGGCTGTTACAACTTCTTGTTAGTGTTTTTTTTAGGTCGTTGTGACAAAGTGTGTTTGCTGGGTGATACCTGTGGCAAGCAGGGCAGGGCCGAGAGCCGCGAGAACGGTGCAAGGCTGGTGGCGCGATTGCTAATGAGCGTCACCTGCGTGCCACACCGGTCTCGAGTTTTGGACTGATAAAAGGAGGAGCGATAGTGAAGGACAAGAAAGAACCAGGCCTGGACTATTTAAGATGTGTTTTTATTATGTTTATATGCGGCAGTCGTATATATTTTAGTCGGTATATTTAAAACCCTTTACAATGAAACACAATATAGCAAAGTGGTAATGTGAAATCCCAAAGACTGCGGTTCAGTTAAATAAATATACGCAGGGTTTTTTTCCCACAGAGAGGCACAACACTAATTATTTACATGCGTGCAGATTACCTGTTAAAAGTACCTCAGCTCCATGCACAGTAAACGCTGCTCCATGCAAACTCAGTTCTGCATATGCTGTTTGTTTAGGTTTCCAATAACGTGCATTTGGGAATGCAAAAGGCCGATTCCGTGCGAATCGGCCATGTCTGTAATTTGTAAAGTAAAAATGACCTACCATATTTCGCCGAACACCGAGGTCCTGTGATAATATTAGTCCCGTGCGGATCGGCATCTCTGTGATTTTGCGGGGTCGTATATCATTTTTTCAATGTTTTTGTTTCCTGTGCGCTTTTTTATCAGTCTTTCGCGAATAATGGAGTGTTTTGATAGTATTTTGGGTGCTGGGTCATATCGCTATAGCCTACACCATACAACTATACAATTTGCAGAAAGAGAAAGCTGAAAACCATCAGAAGAGCAAAAACAAAAAGAATGATTTGATGGAGATGAATGACATAGCAGAATGCGTAAGGAATATTATTCTGTTTATGATATATCATACAGCTAGACCCATACCTGTCAAGTTTTGGATTTGAAAATAAGGGAAATTTTCCAGCGCCCATCGCGAGCAGTCCCACCACCCCAACCAAGCTCCAGTATCCCTTACATTTTAAGACAGGTGGTATAGCCTAAATGAAAACACACACACACACACATATTTAAATATTAGGGCTGGGTAAAAAAAAAATCAATTTCTCGATATTAATCGATTCTCATTTTTACGAACCGATATCGATTCTTAAATCTCAAGAATCGATTAGTCATCCTGTTTTCATTTGATGAATGAATGGAACATTGTAGCGTGCATCCCATCCAATAAATCGCAATAATCCTTGTGCTTTGTTACTATTGATACTAAATAAAGTCTCAAATTTCAAATTACGTCCATTTTCTTACGATATTCAAAAACGTAAATACCTTTTTGGCGCTGTGGCGTGAGATCGCTCTGGCTCAGCTCAGCTCAAGAGAAGCAGCAGCGCGGAGCGCACATGATCTCCTCCTCTGCCTTAATAATACCAGTTACAGCGCGAAATAAACATGAATGAACGTCTGAAAGTGTGTTAAAAGATAGAGTACCACTTATCGAAATCCGTTTATATGTCACATGGAATCGCTCAATCAGTGTTTCAACCGTGGAAAGACGTCAGTAAAACAACTCGTAAACAATGTCATGTAACGTCACACTTACCTCAGAAAAACCATATGTGACCATAAACTCATTAGTCAGCTAGAAAAATTAACTCTAAAGAGGAGCATTTTGCTAAATATATGCACCATATTACAATTTTTTATGTTCTTCGATATTTAATGCATGTTTGAATAAATCTGGCAAGTTTTTATGACAGCCACCATTTAAATGTTTATATTTCATATAACTTTATTATTATTATAAAAATAAATAAGTGTAATTTAAGTGTTTGTATAGCTACAAATCAGTTAATTTTTACCTTCAATATTATAGTAGGCTAATGAAGCCTAGTAGGCTACAACTGACTCCCATAGTTTACAGCAATTAGTTAAGAGATTTGTTTTCCTTGAGAAAATTTGCCATGTATTGTACCTGATATCCAAAATAATCAATATTGAATCGAATCGAATCGAATTGCAAGCTTGTGAATCAAAATCGAATCGAATTGTGAAATTTGTGTCAATACCCAGCCCTAATATATATATTTATGGTATAAATAGGGTATATATTAAGAGCATTTATTTAAAGGCTTATTTGCATATTTTCTGTTCATTTAACATTGCTTGTCTTTACATTTTATTTTAATTCCACACATTATTTTCATTTCATATTGCTTTTCTTTTACAGTTTTTCTTTTCATTTGCAGTTTTTCTTTTCATTTCACATAACTTTTCTTTACTCTTTTAGTGAGTTATTGAACAAATTTGTTGCAGACTTTGTATTAACTGTTTTGGAAGGAGTGTATTTGTGGGCTGGGCCAGAGTGCTTAATTTTACATGAGAGTAAAGCAAACAGTTCTGTTGTCTAACGTCATCCTATTCTCTGTAACAATCTTTCGTACCATGCTAAACACCCTTTCTCGTGCTGACATACATCATTCCTTCCCCGTGTGAGATACTAAAGTCGCAGTTACAAAACGCGTGACTGTCCCCCACCCTGCTCCTCTTCAGAAAAGTAAATTCGCTATCCCATTGATCGCGGTATTTAGCACATGAGGGTTTTGGTTTTTTGGCAGGAGTTGTAATGTGGAAAGGTAAGACCCAAAAGCGAATTGCAGATAACAGTCTCTTTAATAGTGAGAGATAAATTCAGTCCAACAGAAAAATCCTTCAAGATAAACAACAGAAAGGTAGCCGTAGATGCAGGCGCTCCAATAACGAAAATGATAAAGTCTCTCCTTAAAGTAGACAGCAGCAAACAGTCTGAGAACAGGAACCGGCGGGCGCTGTTCTGTGATCCCCTTGAGAGAATGAGCGTCCTACAGATAGTAGAGATGAATGCTCTGGGCGATCGTCTGCAGCAGGCGGGCTGGACAGAGTGTAGAGCAGAGATTAATAGAGAACAAATAAAGACCGACCTGAGCCAGGCTGGATGGCGGATAGAACACGGACAGGTCTCGGACAGGACTCGGACAGGACGGATACAGCAGATAGAAAGATGCCTCTTGCATGTGTAGAGAATGTAATAATCTGGCAAAGAAACAGGGAAAAGGGAGAGCAGGAAATAGCACAAACAATCAGGGAGAAGAGAGAACAGGTGTGAAGGAATGAGTGTAATGAGGGTATAACTAGAAACAGCTGAGGGTACTAAAGGTGCGTGAGGTAATGGGTGTGTGTGACCAGAAGAGGGAGACAGGAGGCTACCAGACTCATGACAGTACCCCCCCCCTCAACGAGCGCCCCCTGGCGCTCCCAAGGAAGGGGCCTGGCGGGCACGGAGGAAATCATCAATGAGCGAGCGGTCCAGGACGTCCCGGGAAGGAATCCAGCTTCTCTCCTCAGGGCCATACCCCTCCCAGTCCACTAGGAATTGGTGTCCACGACCCCGACGACGCATATCAAGGAGCTTGCGAACGGTGTAAATGGGGGCTCCCTCGACACGAAGCGGGAGAGGAGGGGGGGTGCGAGGAGGGGCGCGCACGACTGGTTTGATGCAAGAGACATGAAAAACGGGGTGGACACGACGAAGATTAGGAGGAAGTCTCAATCTGACGGCGACAGGACTGATGACCTTAGAAATTTGATAAGGTCCGATGAAACGAGGAGCCAGCTTGCGGGAAGAGGCCTGGAGAGGCAAATTGAGGGTGGAAAGCCACACTCTCTGGCCACAAATATATCTAGGGCTCCTGACACGACGCTTGTTTGCGGCTCTTTGAGTGCGAACCCTCGAACGACAGAGGGCTGACCTAACCCTTCTCCAGGTGCGCTTACAACGCTGGATGAAAGCCTTTACAGACGGCAAATTAGAATCAGCGTCCTGAGAGGAGAACAGAGGAGGCTGATACCCTAAGCAGCAGTGGAACGGAGAAAGGCCAGTAGCGGACGTCGGCAGAGAATTATGGGCATACTCGGCCCAGGGCAGTTGCTCGGCCCAAGTTGAGGGATTGCGAAAGGCTAAGCTACGCAGAAGACGACCGACGATCTGGTTGGTGCGTTCAGCCTGACCGTTAGTCTGGGGGTGAAAACCAGATGAGAGGCTGACGGACGCACCGATTAAACGACAAAACTCCCTCCAGAACTGTGAAGTGAATTGAGGGCCCCTATCCGAAACGACGTCTGAAGGGAGACCGTGAATCTTGAAAACGTGAGTGACCATTATCTGGGCTGTTTCTTTGGCAGAGGGAAGTTTAGCGAGAGGAATGAAGTGTGCGGCTTTAGAAAATCGATCCACGACGGTCAGGATGACGGTATTACCGGCCGACGAGGGAAGACCAGTAATAAAGTCAAGAGCGACATGAGACCACGGACGGGACGGAATAGGAAGAGGTCTAAGGAGACCGGCTGGTGGAGAAT